CTTAAAAAAAAAAAAAAAAAAAACAAGGTACAAAGAACCACCATTTTGAAGCACCAGACAACGATGTCCAGAAGTAGTGCTTTTATAAATTAAAAATGTTAACTCGTTTTTTCAATCACATTTTTTTTTTTTTCTTTGGAAAAGCCACTATCTTTTTCACATATTTCTCACATTGCGTTTACTTACTCCAACAAGGAATAAGAATAATGCATACTATAAAATCATTATTTTAACGAAATTCCCTTCAACTGCTTAACCTTTCTAAACCTAATCATCAATGCAAAAAGCTCTGCATCTTTTCTTGTTGCTTACTCTTCCAGCAGACTGATAAGCTTAACACACTGACAGAAGATAGAGAGCTGACAGGTTTTCAGTTACAGTTTGAAATTAACCTGTCGACGCATACCAGAAGGTTCCTTCTTTACTGCCTGTGAAAAACCATTGGGAAAAAAAAACATATCTCTGACAGTCGGGTCAATCGTTGGACTATTCAAGCAAAAAGCGCCGTCACCAATATGTGCAATGTGCCTAAATTTTGTCAGCTGAGCTTAAATTTCAAAGATTTCTTTTTTTTTTTTTAGTTTTAGTCAATACGCGTTTCTTTTATTATAACAAATAAACAAATTCAGTAGCTGCTCAACATTTGCATTGCTCGAGAAGTAAAAAACTGACACTTGGAAAAAATTTTAGCTGAAATATTTTACGAGAAATTTTTTATTACAGAAGAAAGGTAAAGAGAGGAAAATAAGCAATAGAATTCTACACGTTCTCGCTATTGAATCTTTCAGAAAAAAAAAGTGTTTCTTCAACGCTCACTATACCAAACTCGAATAATAAGTTTTAAATTTTAGTGTCATTTCTCTCTTGCCGTTTTTAATGTTATAAACAAATTAAGTAAAAGAAATTTCGTTTTTTAAAGGTTAGTTTTTTTTGCTATAATTTTACTACTTTTTTGTAAAGATGTTATACGCTTAGAAATGACCGTTTTGCCTCAAAAAACAAGTGATGTTCAAAAAAGTATGAAAGACTTGTAACTCTTACTTTTTTATTTTATTTATTCTATTACACCTCTGCTCTTTTTGCAGTCTGAATTACCCAGTATTGTCAGTAGTGATTTGAGAGCAA